AATTCTTTCAAAATAATTTCTAAGTGTTTTCTATGTTCATTTTTATTTTTACTATGAACTAATATATCATCTACATATACACTACAAAATTATCATACTTCTTAAATATTTGATCCATCTTTCTTTGAAAGATTGATGGTGCATTTTTTAATCCAAATGGCATTACAAGCCATTCAAAATGTCCTTCTGGACAGGTAAATGCTGTCCATGGATTGATTCTTCTGCTAATCTAATTTGCCAAAATCCTGATTTACAATCAAACTTACTAAAATATTTACTTTCTTGAATTTTATTCATAAGCTCATCCTTATTTGGTAATTTATAACTATCTTCATAAGTATTATCATTTAATCTCCTATAATTATATACTATTCTAGCTTTACCTCTCTTAAGTTCTGAATGTTTTCTAACTACAAAGGCTGCTGATCTATGCCTAGATTTTGAAGGTCTAATTACTTTTCAGTTTAAAAGTTCTTTTATTACATTTTTTGTGCTTCCTGTATCTATCATGGCTGTTGTTTGAATTTTATTTTCTTTTGACAATTCTAACTCACAATTAATTGTTATTAATGAACTAGTCTTTTGTTTCTCTATACTAGGGCAATTATTCTTTTGACTATCTATTCAACTGTATTTATTTCTATTGATCTATTATTGAAACAAGGTTTACAATAAACTATTGTCTTAGTGTAATATTTTTCTACTACTATTTTCTTACATTGATTACATTCTTGAGGCCATCCTAAATTAACATATTTAAATTCTTCATGCTCTGTTTGTTCTTCAAACATACACATATGTTCATCTAATTCACTATCGGAATTACTAGAGTAATCTAATTCTGATTCTGAGTCTAAGGCATTAACACTATAAATACTTTCATTATCACTTAAATTGTCATCTATACTATAGATTGATTCTAAGTCCTCATCATCTTCTAATTGAAATTGTTCAATTAATTGTAATTTTTCTCTAGGTTGTTTTCCTAATTTGGGACACTTAGGTCTAATATGTCCTACTTCACCACAAAGATAACATTTACATGTACTTTTATTAGGTACTTTATACTTTCTAATCCATGGTTTATTTGTTCTTTTCCTAAATTGCTTAGGGATATATTTTCTTCTTCTAAAAGTTTTGAAGGTTGTATTCTAAAATTTTTATTTTGTTGTTTATAAGGTTTATATTTTCTATAGCTTTTTCTATATGGCTTCTTCTGCCTAAATTTCCTATGACATCCATATTGTTTAGGTAAATCTATATTTTTACAACTCATGTAAAACTGTTTTCTAATTTGTCTTTTTGCTTTTATTTGACTACATTCTGATCGTAATATATCATATACATGTTGTATTCTTGCTCCTATGGATACATCTAATTTCCTAGGGTGTTTTTGCCATTCATTCCAAATTCTTTCTCCTATTGGTCCTTTAATTTTTGTCATATAAGTATCTAACAAATTAAGATCATCAATTCTACCTGTTCTACCTAAATACTTGAAAAAGTCTGAAGTATATTCACTAATATATTGTAAATCACAAATTTGTAATTGTTCTAAATTTCTTATGGCTCTAATTTGTTCTTGTTCATTTCTACCATCTAATCTATTATGGTCTAAAAATTCATATTTAATTAATTTAACAAAAGCATCTATATTAAACATTTCTTTTGCTGCTTGATGTTCTATTGGATTTTTAGTTTTCCATGCTTGAAAATAATCAAAAACCATTCCATCTAAAGTATGCTCAAAGTAATCTAACATATCTTTATTATTACTAAAATCTAACATTAATGCTGCATGTACACATCCTTTTTCCCATCTTTCTATAGTTTTTTTCCCAATCCTGTGGGTCTACATGATCTAAATTTAATATATTTCCTGCTAAACTAATTTGTTCAATTCCTTTATAAGGGATTCTATTTTTTCTTATTCCAAATGCTTCTTGTTGAAAAGCATTTCTACCTGTTTCTTCATTATTTTCTCTATATGGTTCATTAGTTTGCCTAAGATTTTGCTGATCTGTTCTACTTGCAGGGGTTACAGATGGTCCAGATGAACTATATTGGTCTTCTACTGGCATGCATTCTACTTCAATTAACATATTTTGATATTCTTTTTCTCCTAAAATATGTTCTAATCCTATATTTAAAATTAAATCTTTCATTTCTTTATCTGATAATCTATGTAATCCTAACTCATAAGTTTTATATTTTGCTATATATTCTTCTTCATCTAAATTATCTATGTCATCTATGAGTTTATCAACTATATTATCAAAATTATGTCTCAATCATATTTATTTCTAAGTTATCAAACGCCATATGTATTTCTTCATCTAATTCACTTTCTAAGTCTTCTATATCATTTATTTGTTTATAATTAGTAAATCTTACTACTGCTTCACCTATATGATTTTCAAAAATTTGTGCCTTATCAGGTTGTTTATTTTTTGCTACTTGTAAATTAGGTAAAATCCATTCTGTTCCTTCTAAAAAACTATTATCTACTGGTTTTGCCTCTATCATATTAACGTGTTTACTACCAAAAGTTTGTACTAAATTTTGGAATTCTACATTAAATTTGTAATTATAAGTATCTGAAATTTTTCCTACATACATAAGACTAATGCTTAAATTTTTGTACTCACCTTTCATATTATAATTTTTTGTTCTTATGCTAATTTTAATATGTTTACTAAATTCTCTAATATTCATGACATAATTTGGAATACATCCTATGACTGCTAAGTTTGTGCTAAGATCTACTTCTGCTGTAGCTATAGCTGCTTGCTGATGGTTATCCCATCTGTCATCATATATGTATACTAGTGCTTTGGTTCCTACTTGTGCTCTAGTGAGTCCAGCTATTCCTATCATAATTGTTCCTATATGGATTTGTTGATAGTGTGATTTTTTAAGGTGTTCTATTGCTGTGTTACTAAGTAAATTAAGAGTTACTTCTTTATCTATACAACTTACTTCATGTTGACTGATACTACTTACAATACTATGCCTATTTTCAAATCTTCCTAATTGATATAAATTATATTTATTTTTCTGAGATTTTTCAAAACCTTTTCTAAGAAATTCTTGTGCTTCTTGTTCACTAGGGTATATATCTTCTGTTCTAACTATTTCTTTCCCTTTTCTTCTAAAGAGTTCCATTTACTATTATCAAATGGATTTATTCTACTTTTTCTTCTATGAGGATTATTTCCTAAGGTTAAATTTTCTAATTTATCAACTAAGTCTTTGGGTAGTGTAGAAGTGGTATTGTGTACTACTTGATTAATTTCTGTTATTTGTTCTTCTAATTGATCTACTTTTTCGGCTAAATTTAAAATTAATTGGATAATTAAATTATTTTGTCTAATAGGGATATTACTACTTACTACAGATGTTGTAAATTCTGTAAGACCTACTGGTTCCTTATCTAGTTGACCAACTTCTTCTAATGCCTTTATATATTTATTATTAATTTTAGAATATGTCATCAAACTAAAAGTCTATCTATTTTACTATGTAACTTTTCTACTTGTTCAGTTAATGTTTTTTGTACTAACTGTATTTTTTGCACTTCTAATTTTAACTGCTCAATGATTTCTAATGACTGGAGTTCTATTTGTTTTGGCTTACTATCTATAAGATCTATGAGGTCTTTATTTCTTTCTTACTAGGAAATCTTTGGATATTCCTATTATTATCTTCTAATTGGGATGTTATATAGTCTAAGTTTTGTCTAATTGTTTTTAAGGAATTTTTCTGAAAATATTCTAGTAACTGTTTGAATTATTCTATTATTTTTGTTATGTTCAAATTTTACACTTTCTGCTTGACTAATCAAAAGGTCAATAATACTATTTTCTAAGGGATTACTACTACTATGTAAAAGATGTTTGTGTTCTTTTTGTGGAAAATAACAAACTAATGTATTATTATCTAGAGTTAATTTTTTCTTTTGTTGTTCACTGATTTCTAAATTGAGGTATTCTATCATAAAATTTATCTAAGTCTACCTTTTTCTTTTAAGATGCCTAAATGCTCCTGAAAAGCTTCTATGGATTCTTTACAGACTTCTAAATGGTACTGGTTTCTTGTTATGCTATTCTGGACTTCTAACTTTCTTCTAGGATAATTATCTACTTCTGGTGATCTTATTAATTCTTCTAAATTCCTAATTTCTTTTTGGTATTCTACTTTCCGTTTCTTTAATTCCTGCAACCTTTCTTTTATTCTAATAGGTGTCCACCAAGGGCCAAACATGCAAAGGGTTTACTAGTGTTTCTGGTAATTAACAAAATTTTAACAGGTTATAAAACGTTGGTTTTTATCAGTTGTGTTGACTGACTTCTGTCCTCAAGGTACTTTACTAGTATAACTATATTATTAAGGTGCTAAACTAAAGCTCTGATACCATTTTTGAACAGGGGCTCGGTCAAGGTTTTCTAAAGCCAAAATAACAACCAGACACCATGCCTAGAACATGGAACTGCAAAGACGCCAACTTAAGGGCTATGGAGTAGAACTCAGAGGTCCTCTGAACTCAGAGGTTATGTACAAACAAACAAAAGCTTTTAAAAGTATGTTCTGATATACTATTGTTGCTGCTGCTGGAAAAAGGACAAGGCTTCACATGTTGCTTTGGTTTTGACGGAGGAGAGAAAGGCGAAGGATATGCATGTCTTTGGTGCTTAAGATAAGGGTTTTTTCTGCCATTTTGGAAATATTTTGGGTATTTTTGAGAGCTGGCTGCTTCTTTTGGGTTCTTTCCTAAATTTTGCACTTAAGAAATAAAGAATTGGACAATAGGAATTTAGACACGTGACGCATTGAAGCATAAATGTGTAGGACGAAGAATGCCCAAAATTAGGCCACCATAGGAGACATGCAATTTTTTATTTTATTTTAAAGAAAAGAGAAGGTAATCAACTACCATTTACCTCTTCTTGAATACTTACAGATAGAAGTAACTCATCTATATATTATTAAATTACATGTTTCTAATTAGATGAGCTTGCTTTTGTAATGCGGAACCTGTCCTCAACTTTTCTTGTATCTGCGTTCACGAACTGAAAAATGAAAGAAATTTAGAGAACATCAAGGTCTGCCGAAGTTCAAGCTAAGCTGAGTGTTTCTGATGAACACGAACTAAGTATAATATGTATATGAAAAAAATTCTCTCCATATATATGTTCTGTAGTATGAAACTCAAAGGTCACATACTGTCATACTGACCTCTAATTTCATCTCCTTCTTTGTGGCGTATCCTCTGAGATAACCAAATTGAGAAATCCTCGATAAGCTCCAACGATTATTACCTGAACGATCAAAATCCAATTCCATGTAAAGAACAATGAAAGAACAACTTTTTTTTTTCTGTTTCATTTTGTCTGAAAAGAGTGATGCAACATCTTAGGAGCTCACCCATCCTACTACTACTCTTACAGAAATTCGCTTAAGTACATGTATACGTATATAGTTGTAGAGAGAGATACTTACACCAGTTGGAAACTTGTCCAAGGTAAAGCCAGCCATACCAATTACTGCATGCACTGGGGCACTGTAGTTGCTATGATCGTATGTGTCGATCCCATTTTCATCTTTAACAGGCAATCCCTTGCATTGACTCTTATAAACCGTGCAGGTTCGCTCGTAGTTATGGACATGACCAAATAGGACCAAATCAACCTAGTTCAATTTTCCAAAGCAATGTTAGAAAGAAACAAGAAAGAACCAATTTGACACATAACGAATCCAAGAGTTTGTTTTTTTTTTTTTTTTTTTTTTTTTTTTTTTTGAAAATTCTCTTTTCTCCCGTTGAAATTAAGTTAAGTAAAGACACAGAAGAGATGAACAAAAAAGAAATCACAAAGAAAAAAAAAAAAAAAAAAAAACAAATCAAAAAGCTAGCGAAGGATGTTAATTACTTTGCTTTGAAGCAGTAATGGTAATCCACTTCAAAAACAAATTTTGGATCAACAACTTGGGGAAGAGTCCATCTGCGGAGGTATACATGGGTCTATGCCTGCAACATTTGAAGAAGTCACAAGCATTTACTACAACATAAAAAGATGGGGTGGAAATCATGGGCTTATTTAATAGCTAGAATCTAATTGAAATTATTGTAATCTTGAACATAATAATCGGATTAACATAATTTAAACTGTAAATTGTGTATAATTTAACATAGTCCACTTCTTAATCACTGCAATGTAGAATGAAACAGAAGCACACAAACACACAGAAATAATGGTTACAAACACTACAAAAACTTGAAGGTATTTCAGTTACACTTACCCCATAAAAATCAACCAAGGAGTTTTGGATCGATCAACAGAAGCCATGTCCCTTCTCATCCATTGATACTGTAAAGTGTATCCATTGCATAGAGTAACAAAGCGAAAAACATCAAATAAGCTGAGAATACCATATGCTAGATTGGATAAATATAAGGCACTACAGAAGTGCTTAATTATCTTTACCTGCTCAGAGTTTTGGGACCAGTCATGCTCTGTAGATATCACCGTGATGTGAACACTTGCTTGTTCTATGGAATACCATGGCTTATCCTTTGCCGGGGTTGGCATCGGAAAATAGGTCTCATAAGGAACACCAGATTCTCCACCTGAATCTGGGGTTATGTAAACTGATCCAGTGTCTATATAGTCCCTGAAAAATACATGGTCAAGCATATTGTTGATGCATGCACAGATTTGGATAAACATCATTGGGGATGGAAAACACAATCACACACACGTACACGATTTTGAATGGTTCACCCATAATTAGGTTACATGCACTGTGGAGCTTCGAATATGTATTTGATAGGAGAGAGCTTTTACATTGTGCATTTGAGAGGCATAAAGCCTTAGTAAAAGAAGAGAGCCTTAGAGTGGGAGAGGCAAAGCCTGCCTTCTCTGCTTGCTGGTTGCCTCTTGCTTATGTACGCCTTACAAGTAGGCAAGTCATCATGACTTTTGGGATTTAGGTATATGGCTCCCCTTGGTTAGGCATGGAGGAGGTATGGAGAAGGCATATGAGAGGGCATGGGCCTTCCTTAATTGGTGGGATTTCATTGTGGGGTTTAGGTGAGGTCAACATATGTTTTAAGGAAAATCTTCTGAAAGTTTAGTGTTATGTGGTTTAGCCGCCTGCTGGTTCATTTATAGAGTTGATTCTTTATTCAAATGTATGTGGTCTAGATTAAGCTTGACAACATAACATGTGAGATACACTATATAGACAGGACATTAATATGCATTGCCACTATGGTAGAAAAGAGCATACCTCTCATGGTTTCCAATAGCTGTCATGTAAGAAACTCGAGAAGCGACAGGACTTATTTGGTGTAGGAAAAAATCCCATTCAACTAAAAATCCAGTGGCGTAGCTAATGTCTCCAATGTGGAAGATAGAATCTACTTGCCCTGAATTTATTTCGTCAGCCATTGCTTGAATTACTGAGAGGGATCCTGGCTATTCATGCCACACAAGATTAAAAATCTCTTTAGCCTTTACTTTTCCTTCAAGGTGGGCATAAGTAAAATTGAAATAATGCACTAGTATATAAATTGACAAAGTATTTATGGCTTAGAGGTGTGGATGAATGACGACCATATAGTTATTGCATTGCAGTACTAAATGTGTCGTGTATACCTGAATGTAATGCTCCGTCGAACCATCACGAGGAGCCTTTCCCATATCACCGAATGCGAGAAATTTGAGTTCATCAGATCCTCCTGCTGGGGGAGTCCGGAATTGGATTTCATTGCTCCAACCAACTGAATCACTGCAATTTATTTTCCATTCCCACATACATAAGGTCACTTTGTGTTCAAGATTTGGTGGGAAAGATGAAAAGGCTCTGTATAACTAATGCAAACAATATATTTTGAGCACTTCCATCTTGCACCACATCTCCTTGAAATTTTGGAATGGTTTGAAATCAAGCCTCAAATAGCCTCGGTTGCCTTTTTCTTTTTCCAAATATTTGTTTTGTGGTGGAAATTAGATAGGGGGTTTATACATACCTTCCATATCTATAAGAGAAATTAGATAAAGGCTTAAGTCCTGTCATTACTGCTGTATGAATGAAGCCTGGGTCATGCCATCCGAAGTCCTTGGCTGGACTTGGTAGAGCTGAACCTACAATTTACAAAAGAGGTACCAAAAAAAAAGAAGCAAAAATAGAGATCAAGGAGACCTTCAACGTGAAAACCATATCATAAGGTAATAAGCTAGTGTAACTTTTAGAATTTGTATTTTGCATGATCACATTGTTGATCACATCTTTTACAGAGGTGTCGAGATATATATATAACCTGCCTCTATAAGAGATATGGTCAATTAACTTAGTTATTAAATATGATACATGTAACGAGAAACGTATATATGGATATAGGATGTTGAGGAACTGACTTTGCATGTCATCTTGTGAAAATGTAGTAACTTGTGACGTCTGTTTTTTCCCGTCACCATATTGTACTTGCTGAGGTTTCTGATCACCACTGACCCCATGTTAATCGTATCTGCACCCATAATTCATGTTTCATTGTGTTACAACTATGATCTCACAAGTTGATAGAACCATCTCGGCGATCTTTTTTTATGGGAAAAATATACGAAAACAGACATTTCAATCAACTTGCTTCAATTTGTTAATTAAATTAAGCTGTTCTTAAAGCTCAAAACCACTTTGCAGCCTTCATAATTGACTTCATGCTAAACTTAATTAGTTCAAGACGAGAATCACATAAAGGGGAAAATTTTATTTTTCAATTTTTCATACTATGTTGCGAGACTGTGAATATACGTAAATTATTGCTATGTCAAGAATTAATGGTGAAAATAATATAGAGTGTTACCGATGTTCCCGTCGAATCTATGCTCGATAGATGTCCATATAATGGCTTATTTGGAGTGGCAAATCTCACAGGGCTTGACCTTTTCAAAATGCAAGGTGCCTCGAATCCACCAGAAAACAACACAAATTCAATGTCCGTTCTGATGTTAATAACATGAAATGATAATGCACCACCACAAGTGGACACCAAGCATCGACCATTCCGATACTTTTTGCATTCCTTCTTCTTGCAACTCAGATAGTCAGGATCATTGCTCATGTATGCTGCCTGCAGCAATTTCAAAAAATGTCAATGTACTACATATTATATATTACAGGTCAGTCTATTTTGTTGTTATCAATGTGAGATATAGGGACTCGGAACCTCTTCCGACCTTTAAGAAAAAAAATCACTAAATTAAGAGTTCGTTGATTCTTGTTTTAATTATATTGATTGTTCACCTACTTTCTAATCAGGTTATTTAGGGCTTGTTTGAGAATTACTTTAAAGTGGTTGTAAGTGATTTTATGAAGAAGATAGTGGCGGAGCCATGATTTCACATTAGAGGGGACCGTTCACAAAATTTTAAAAAATAATTTGAATAGGAGTGTTAAAATGCTAAGCACTTAATAAGTTAATTTGACACTAACCACTCGTTTTGGCCTACTTCATAATATCAATTGATATAAATTAATAATATTATATACATTTGTTACAATCATAATTGTAATGAATTATTTATTTATTTTTAGAAACATGAATTTCATATTTTAAATTTGTCTACACTATTAAAGACTGAACTTATAATAATTTATATTCCAACATAGAGAAGAATAAAAAAAGTTCATAAATCCCAACACTAAGGTACCCAACTCAATGAACTCATACATGAAAAAAGGACGGAAAAAAAGAAGAAGCTTAAGTTAAATAAAAGAAAAAAGAAAGAAATGTTGTAAATTTAGGAGTTTTTAGTGCAAATACAATAAATTAACTTAAAAATTTAAGGGAGACAAGTAGATAAGAGATCAAGAAGTTTTATGGTTAATTTATAGACAATGAGAACCTAATATATTGTTTATTTTAGAATAAATATCCTAAAACTAATCTAATGTATAGTATATACATAAATTGGAAAAAATGGAGTGGGGGCCTGGGACCACACTGGTCTCTTAATGGCTTTGCCACTGTGCACATAGTAGGTACTTCTCCTTAGAATCGTTTAAAAACACATATTAAGAAGCATAAGAGGTACTTCTCCCCATACCTGATTTTGGCTCTTCCAAAATCACTTCCAAATTAAAGAGACAGTTATACTAAAAAGGATAACAATATCTAACTACGGTGAAATCTAAACATACGTATATATTTTTGTTAAAGCCAAGTAGTTGGGGTTTAAGGTTTAGAGTTTAGTATGCATCAAACTTAATATTTTCCCAAGACTCTCACCCTACATGCACAATATTTTGTTTATCAAGTTGCTGAGAAAATCACCACCATCTAACAAACAAATATAATGAGGAAAACACAATCCAAACAGTTGTATTGAAAATGAACACACAACTTATCCAACTAACTCATGCTCATCCACATGTTTGGTTCATTATTATCCGCTCAACAAAATATAAGGGAAATTGATATGGATATTAAAATCAAACGGAATAAACCGTTAGGCCCGTAGGATTATGCTTTGTCAAATGTCAAAGCGACAGTGCATCGATATGGTTGCCTTGTACGTAAATGTTTATGGTTTTCTCAACCCCACATTGTTAGTAACGTCGTACATTAAAGACAACATGGGCTGCCCCATGCCCAGCCACTTTTTCCAACTATGTGGCCCTTAAATTTTTTATTTTTGATATATTTTTTTTTCTCTTTGGCTTTTATTCATTACAATTTAAAATTGGGAGTTTCACTAAAACACCCAAAATGGGAGCTGAAATTATAAAAAATCCAACACCCAAAATACTTTATAAACACACCTAAAACCCATCATTACACACACTCAAAACCCATTTATAAACACACCCAAAAAATATACAATTGTTGATTTTGGGTGTGTTTCTATGTTTAAATAGTGCTTGGGTTTTTTTATAAATACAAGTTTAGAATTGAGTTTATTTATAAATTTGTATTTAAAATTTTCTGTTACTACCGAAGAGCAATTCTTTTGGGACCTAACTATTAATTAGGACTACACTCTTGAAACCTAACATATATCAATACTGTTTATAGGAATAGGAATATGATCACTGGTATAACTCGTCCATTCTTAGAATCTAGAACTTTTTTTTATGCCGAGTTTTCGCTAATGCGGCTCTCGCATGCCAAAAATAATTGAAAACAAGAAAAGTTGGACAGAAAAGTTGACGATGAAATTTTAAAACGAACCAACAAAGAGAAAAAGGATATATATTTATTTCTTTCTTAAAAAGAAAAAAAAGAAAAAAAAAGGACATGAGTAATATGAAAACGATAATTTTGTTTACCTTAACAGGATAATGGCAGAGAAGAGGAAGTTTGCTGAGATCGCCAGTCTGTGCATAGAGAATCCCATTTAAAGGACAGCTTGAGACACTGCATATCATGTAATAGCCAAAAATATATAACAAATTGAAATAATATGAAGGAAAAAAAAAGCATGAATAAATTCGTAGATAATTAACGTGTACAATTATATATATATAATTCATACTCAGAATGAGAAGGTGAAATCATGGCGACCCAATCGTCTTTGGAAGGATTGAGGACACCTCTAACATTGACACTCAAGAACTCTTCATCTCCAAGGCCAGAAGAAGTTGAGTTAATACTAATTTGCAGAAAAGGGCTCGGATGAGGACACTCAGCCAGAAATCTTCTATTCACAACCCTAAACTCAGATATTGCTGTGTAGTTAAGGTGTTGAACTTTGGAGTTGAAAACTAAAGGGTGCAAGGATGACGACGACGATGACGATGAAAAGAAGCAAACGAAGAACCCAGAAAAAAGATGAACACAAGGAATGACAAGTTGAGAACAACACAATAAGTGCTTGAGGATCCCATTTGAAAATCAAAGTGGAATTTTGTGATTATTTTCTAAGGCAAAGAAACAAGGTTTATATATAGAGAGATGGTTCTTCTTCTTGCCTTGGTGGTCATGGCGCAGCGCTGTCCTTCTGATTTTCTTCCTTATTTATTGGTTTCCCATTTGAGTACGCATGAGTTCAACTTGGAAACTTGGCTTCATATCAGAATTTAGGGTTTGAAAAGAACGTGGCTTTTTGTTTCCATTGGTGTGTACATGGGCAACCAAAATAGACAGGTCATAGGTGTGTACATGGGCGAACATTACGTTTTAAAACTGTTGTTTCTTCACGCAACGTTGTTTGGTTATGTTGATACCACGCAGGTGCGGCTGGGCCGGTAACAACCAATTGCGGCTTTAATTTTGTTTGTTTTTAGGTTGGTCTCTCGTTTTTGTGCGAAAGCACAACGCTATTTTCAATCTACCCATATTATACATGTGCATATTTATTAGGGGTGGAATTTGGACCCCAAAAACCCACCACTTGACACAGTTGGTTTTGTCTAGGGGTGGGCATAGGTTGGGATGGTTCGATTTTGGTCCCAATCCGATATATAGTGGTTTATGATTAATGATCGGATTGGACGATTCAATCGAGTTGACCCGAAATTGTAGTTATTTTTTGGACCGAACCGAGGTGGCGTTGTAAAAATGGTATTGGAGATCTGAATTGAAACCATCAATAACCGCAACCAAAATATATATACAATCCCCTTTTATTGAAGGATCCCTCAAATAAAATTATTTGAGGGACACACTTTAGGCTCCCCTATGAATTTTGTTTCAATGATCCAAACCATCTATTTTTTCAGTCTACATTCATAGATCATCCTTACAAAAAATTAGACAAATCGGAAACCGTTTTGACATCCAAGTGTCCTACAAAATCAATGAATACAGTGATTCAAGAAAGTACTAAAATTTCAATAACTCAATTGAGTGGTCAAATGATATCGGATTTAAGTGATTTTTTTTGTAAAGAAGATTTTTAGATGAATATCTAAAAAATAAATGGTTTGGATTAGTGAAATACAATGCGGAGTGGGCCCTATAAGGATGTCTCTTAAATAAGTTTATTTAAGGGATCTCTCAATAGAAACTCTATGTATATATACATACATAGAGCTTCCCTTAGGATACCCTACAAATTTTTTTTCAACGATCTAAATTGTCTATTTTTTAAATATTCATTCATATTCCTTGCAAAAAATCAGAAAAAGTAAAAATCATTAAGGCATCTAATCGCAAGCAACAAAATAGACGAATGCTTCAAGAAAATACTAAAATAACAATCATCTAATTGATTGGTCAAATAGTTTCAGATTCAAGTGATTTTTTGAGAGATGATCTTTGAGGGAATATCTAAAACTTAGACGGTTTGGATCATTGAAAAACAATGTATAATTGGCCCTACAAGGGTGTCCCTCAAATAAACTTATTTCAAGGATCCCTTAATATAAGCTCACTATATATATATATATATTATATTATATACTAATGTATGATAATTATATGGGCTGTTCATCTTACAAAAAAAAACATAAAATATATGCACTGTTTGTTAGTGGTATGCCCTTAAAGCCAACTAAGTATATGGTAATTAATGTTAAGGACATCATTTGTAATAACTTAATGGGCAAGACCAGTTGTTTTCAACCGTGATATTTGATCTATTATCATAACAGTAAAACAACTGTAGTCCTAGGAAGATATAAGTGAACATGAGAACTATGTAATGAGATTGCATACATCGAGACTTATCATGATCCCTAATCCTAAATATGTTCCTGGTTATAGAAGTATTAATTGGGTGTTGATATTCTGCCAAGACCAGTACACAGAGTATCTTCTCTTATTGTAAAGAATGACGAGGTCTCAAGTCATTAAGTGTGGCGACACCAAGATATGTGTGTAGGTGCTTGCAAGAGAACAAGTACACTGAACTTGATCAAATACATGAGTTCTAGAATGAAAGTCTTTACTCACATGTTAAACTAGAACTCATAGATTGCAATGGTGTAAACTAATTCTTTGACTTGAGACATCGTAGATGTCTTGTGGCTATGTTGTTTGTCTTTGAGGGCACTATACATTTGTGTTGTGGAAGACATGACCTAATGGTGTTTATCAGGACTCTCAATAAAGTCAGGGAAACGAATAATTATACAATGAAGGATCTCTACTCTCAGTAAGGAGAGACAATACTCCAAGCATATGATCGATCAAACTTTTGCGCAGAGTAGTGGATTTTTGAAAGAAGAAGTCTTTAAATCTTACCAGGATAATCATATAATGGAATAATTCACATTAGGATATTCGACATTAGATTGTATTATCTAATAATCTGAATAAGTAGTATTGTATAAGAGAATGATTCAATTGCATAGTCATTCTAATTTGAATAGGTTCTTCCCTACACCTTATTTAGCTCGGATAACCATGACATGCTACTATGCGTCAACCATGGTTTTTGGAAGTCCTGAAAGGTTCAATCATAATTGACCTTCACTAAGGAAGAATTAAATAGTGAAATTTAATTCACAAGTCAACTTAGAGAAGTTGAGTCTATCCATAATATTAAATAGTGAAATTTAATTTCTGTCGGATAATATTAATTTATTCCGGAGAGTGCTGACTGTTTATCCATAATATTATAAGGCGTTTGGTAATGTTCCGGATAAATAGTCTGACTAAGATATATTGTGTTGGTTCTGTTCCGGAGAACATCGGATCGGCCTATTTTTTAACAAAAAATTCTTTGATAATTTAAGTGGAAATATAGACAATATAGACAATATTATTTGCATATATATATATAATTAAGAAAAAAAGAGAATATATTGAAGCCCAACAAAAGCAGTCAAGAAGAGAATCAACGGACAACAGTAGCAATACGGAAATAACCAGAAAACAAACCATCACCAAAAGTAGAAAAAAAATTACAGCAAAAAAATAAATAAATAAAAAATAGCCACATTGTTCTAATTGCTAACTTGAGATGATAATTTGATTATTAAGTTGGATACTTGGAGAAGAAGAAATACATAAAGAAAAAAACTCAAGAAAAACTCAGCAGCATGTATTGAGTTGGATACATGGCCGCATGATGATTATTTGATTATTTGATTATTGAGTTGGATACACAGCCGCATGTATTGTTCCAATACAGCAAGAAAAAAAAAGTCAAAAAGGAAAAACTCATAACCTAATTTCCACAAAGATTTAATAAAAGAATTGTTTGGGCCAAAAAGAAATGCACGCGCGAGCCCATCTTGGCAAAGAAAGGCCCACAAAAAACAGAAAAGAACAAAGGACTGGGCTTTGATTCCAAAAAAAGAGCCCAAATCCACATAAAATGCCAAATTAAATGGCAATTGACCACTAAAGCAGATCGATAAAAAGAAGAATTGGATTGGGCCCAGCTTCTAAACGCTCACCATTGATCTCAAAACCCAGAATACAAAGTTAGCAGATCTTTTGGAAAGTCTATTTTTCAGAACCCACGTGACTACCCAACTTTGAAGAGTCAACAATTTCAACTATCACAAAAAGGTGAATTAATGAAGGCAGGTCATTGCAGGAAGACTTCTTTGAAACTCTACAGCTAAAAGATCAAAATCCCCTTTCTATATATAGAAAAAATTCTGCTCCAGAGTAGGTGTCATTTCCAAGGAATAAGCAGGCTGTATTTTCTAAAAACGATAAGTAGGAAGCAGGGAGTTGTTCAACAGGAAAAGCAAACTGAACATCATAGCAGATTGTGTTCTTTCTCTCTACAAAGAAGAACAGGGAACAAAGAAGAGTTGGTTTTCCTTTTAGAAAAAGAAAGGAAAAGACCTCTATGAAAACTGATTACTGATGATTTTTTCTTTGCCAAAACAGATAACTTCCCATTTTCTTTAACATTTAAAAAAAATGAAAGATCTTGCTTTTAGAAAATCTGCCCACCATTTTTAAAATTAAAGAAACCCACTCCAGCATTTTCTATAAATATGAGAGGAGGTAAACAGATCAAGACAACCAAAAAATCAATCAAAAACAAAAACTTAAAATGATCACTTGATCTAAAAAACCTTCAAAACACTGAAGCAACCAAAAGCTCATTGAGCCATAAGAAAAGCCAGCTACAGTACAGAATCCCCAACTTCGGTTTAGACTTAAAGAAATAAGTCATTCAAAACGAGATTTCTCTCGTTACAAATTTGGTTCAGCATAAGCCAAATCAATCAGAGTTTGGGTATTTTACAAAATATGAAAACCTCAACAAATTTATGGAAAGCCTTGATCAAGCAGAACAGGTACTACAGTGCAGTTCCAGCTTAGTAATCCTCAAGTCCAGCCACTTCTGCCCCTTCCAGACGAAAGAGGTCCCACTTCTGCCGGCTCAAACAGCCTTCCAGGTCCCGAAGTAGATTAAAGCTCTGCCAAACTCGAACGTTGGTATCGATTTACAGCTGAAACTTGATGGTTGAAGGTGTTGAAAGTCCAGTCCAGCACAGGCATACCCAGCTCAGCCCGGATCAGAAGCATCTATCCAGGCAGAAATGGAAGTCCAGCCCTCTTTTTGCCTTTTCTAGAGTTGGTTTTTCCTTTTTAAGTTTTGTAAAAAGTAGTTCCGCCTGAGAACAATTCACTTTCTTATCATTTAT